GGCGAACGAGTTGATTAGGCTGCCATTTTTTTCTGTAGACAAATGGACAATAATCAACTGCGATGCATAGACGACAGTGCCCTGCGAAATATGAAAGACATGGAAATTCTGTAAGTAATTTCTTTTCATCCCGTGCCTGCATGTCATGCATGCATTGTCAACTTCAACAAACTGGTACGATATATATATATATATATATATATATATATATACACGTATACTCCACGAGTGCGTTGATGCATGCAGGTATTACTTGAGTTACTCACTGCATACCCTGTCATTAAATGTTATTAAACGTTATTCTATCTGTTGTCATCACTGATCCACGCGACAATGTCTACTATGTCTACACGACAGCCGATCCCCGCGTTTCCGTCCCAAGCCTCCTCTGCTATGCTTCTTCTCAGTGGCGTAGCCAGGATTTTTTAACAGGGGCCATAAAACAGCGAACTGCGCAAAATAGTGGATGACTTAATATTTTAATGGTTCCTCCGCCTCCACACCCTATACGCTCCCCCACCTCTCGGCTCTGCAATCTTTGTTTTGGGCGCCATGCAAAGAGGCGACATTTTTGTTCGTTGTTCTCTGCTCCCAAGATATGTAACTGTTCAGTGGCGGATCCAGGATTCCAAGGATGAGGTGAAAATGTAGATCGCAGGAGATGGTATTTGAGGCACGTTTGAATACAATTACGTCATGTACAGCCTTCATTCTGACTACGACAATTCTCTTTTTAGTACAACAATTCTTATTTTTCATTTTATTTTTACTTTCGGATTAACAGGGGGATCATGGCCCTTTTTACCCCCCAAACTACGCCACTGCTTCTTCTCTCCTTCTCCCCGTAACTATAGGTGTTGTCACCGTTGTTTCTCGTAAACAAACCTGGCAGCTCGTCGCCCACAATACTCTAGCGTTTTGCCAAGGAGAGCGTCTCGGCCCAGGTGCAGCATTCGTGCGTGCGTGCGTGCGTGCGTGAGTGCGTGCGTGTGTGCGTGCGTGCGTGCGTGCGTGCGTGTGTGCGTGCACGCAGTGTTAACGTTCGTAGCCAACGGGAGACCTTATCTACGAATACAGACACACGCAGCGTGCACGACACACGTCTTAGGAACTAGGAGCAATCGACCCGGGATCTTTGAGAAAGATTTGTTGAGGCAATGTAGTGGCGAAGGAATTTCGTCGTCTCACAAAGGGTGTCACTTAACCCAGGGTTGCGCTCCGACGCGCGTGTAGGTTTTGTTTGATCGCGCATCTCAACGTTTACAAATTACAGTGAAATTCTCCCCCCTCTTCGTTTTTTTTCTTGCTCTCTCTCTCTCTATATATATCCCTTTATTTTTATTTTCTCTCTCTCACTCTCTCTCTTTTCTCTCTATCGCCCATTCTCTTTTCTCTCTATCCTACCATTCCCTTCTCCCTCGTTCGCTTTATCTTCTCTCTCTCTCCCTCTCTTCTCGCGCCTCCCCCTCTTCTTATCCTCTCTTTCATCTAGGCTCTTTTTACGGTAGGCGCTTGGTGAAGAATTATCAGTGAAAGCGCTCATATATCGTATGATTTTATACCGTGTGATGTATACACAACATATAAACTCTCATCTTCTTTCTTTCAGAGACATAAGTTATAACCGACTGCAGATCGTTGGAAAGAAGACCCTGCGAGGAATACCCCGCCTGAAGAATCTGTGAGTCTGAACCGCGGTCCGTGCGCTTTTACAATCAAAATTTAAAATTAAATAATTAAATATCACGGAGAGCCCGTGGACGAATCAAAGAAACTGTAAACCACTGACCCTCTCCTTCTCGCTCTCCTCTCTCCCTCTACGTATTTTCATCTCTCTGCCTCTCTCTATATCTCTCTATCTATCTCTTCCTCTCTCGCTTTCTCCCCTCTCGCTCTCTCTCTCTCTCTCTGTCTCTATCTCTCTCTCCCTCTCTCGCTTTCTCCCCTCTCGCTCTCTCTCTCTCTCTCTCTCTGTCTCTATCTCTCTCTCCCTCTCTCGCTTTCTCCCCTCTCGCGCTCTCTCTCTCTCTCTCTCTGTACCATGTCTTGCCTTGTGGTATCGTATTGTTAAGGCAGTGCACCACACGTTACCCCAGCTCGAT